GTTTTGTAAAAATCGACGCGTTTCAAAAAGGCGGGGCATAGAGGAGAAACAATCATGTACAGTATGTCGAAAATAATGTGTTTTTTTAACTTTAAACCGCATAAACACATTTCATTACACCAAATACACAAAATAATGTTCTTTTTAGCAGCATCATATGACCCCTTTAATATTGAGAACGATTTTTAGAACTATAGCTTTATCGTTATTTTTATAGTTATCGTCCTTGGTGTGAACAGGCCTTTACACAATTTGCTGATGTAGCAATTTATATGAGGACCACTTCAGATGTTCTTACAAATCAGTTTTTGGCATTTTTCACTATATTAGTTAAGGTATTTTTTAAATGTTCATGGCAGTATTATGTTCCAAGAAGAAAATGTAGGAGCAATTCAATGCAAATGTCAACCTTACCATGACAAAAAAAATTTTTACGAAAAGAACAAAACCCTATTTAAGTTCTGCATTTAGGTCTGTATTTTACAGCATTAACATGCTTCAATAGAAATTTGAAGGAATACATCATGTTTATCCACCACAAATGAGGTACTATGAACCAATAGTAAAATTAAATTTTCATCCAACTATATATTTTATGTTTTCATAAGAGGGGTCAAAGCCCAACCATTTTGTTAAATGTATGTCAACAGTAAGCATTTTGTAGAAAGATGGAGACCTGTCTGAAAAATAAATACACTCACTTTGTCCTAATAGCGATGATTTATGGATTTATAAGTGCTAGATTTATTAAATAATGTGCTGTGTAATTCAGTGCTGTGTCACGTCCCTGGCAAGTTAATATCATAAAATAATTATTAGTAATACTAGAAAACTAGAAACTTTCTGTACAAAGGCAAATTATGTCCATTCTAATAATGATCAACTCATCTCCCTTCTGTGCTCTGAACAGCCATAATAACGCGTTACGGATGCGACAGTTATGGACGCTTCATATTTGTAACACCGTTCGTAGTTCGGGAAGAAGGAGACGGGAACTGGCGAACATTTATACAAAACTTTAATCAAATAAACAAACACAAAATGAAAGTAAAGCGGTAGCCCCTCGCGGACAACTGCCGCACACAAAACTGTATGGCGTTGTGTGGGTGAGCGGTTTGCTGATGTCAACGTTGTGGATCGAGTGGCCCATGGTGGCGGTGGGGTTTCTTATCTTACATTTTATAAGATGTGTTTGACTTGAAGCAGTGCTGCGCAGACCGACCAGTGTATGACATCAAAGTAACGTGAGAGCAATATGAAAGCATGCAGAGCCACCTGCTCTCTATAGCTTTCGTGGTACTTAGATGGCGTACACTGATCGGTCTACGCAGCACCGCTTTAAGCTGAACACACCTATGTGGTTGCACAAAATAAATTCCAGGCCTGGTCCTCTCTCGTCCAACACGGTCGTCACTCCTCCCTTTTATCCTTCCGGAGCTCCTCCGTGAGACTCGAGACCGGTGAGTGGTGCAGGTGTCGCTCATTATCAATTACTCCACCGGCCTCGCTCCGTTCCAACGGCTCTCGGCCCCGCCCCCACTCGTCACAATATTATATCATATGCATAGTCATACTGCATAGCCATACTATATGTATCTATATGACCGACACAAATGTTTGCCATGTTGCTGATGACTGATACTGTGTAGGCCTAATGAATATGGCAGAGGCGGACTATAGGACAAATAACCAAAACTATTTTCAAATGTCAAATAATGTTGATTGTCTATATTTTATTTACACCTTTTATGTTTTTTTATTACACCTTTTATATGTTTCAAATAACTCTTGTCGCTTGATGCATGCATAGAGCATGAGTCTGCATGTTGTTTAACGTGACTGCTGAGTTCTATGTGCAAAAGATGTGCTATTTTTCTAATTTTTCTACATTGCACATCTTGTTTTATTTCGTATCATTGCAAGTTAAAATGTTTAAGTCATTTTGTTGTGCAGACGCAACCTGAAACTGCAGTCTATTTGAAATGTGGTTTCTCTCATTTAAAAAAAATATTATTGAGCATTCTTTTGTTTTGATCTACAGAACAGTGTAATAAAAGTTGATAACCCCCCCCCCAAATTGTCCCTAAAATTCTTATCTTACATTTTATAAGATGTGTTTGACTTGAAGCAGTGCTGCGCAGACCGACCAGTGTATGACATCAAAGTAACGTGAGAGCAATATGAAAGCATGCAGAGCCACCTGCTCTCTATAGCTTTCGTGGTACTTAGATGGCGTACACTGATCGGTCTACGCAGCACCGCTTTAAGCTGAACACACCTATGTGGTTGATTGGTGACAAAAATGATGCAAGGCTGCGTAATGTAGCCTATATAATGCAGTGATATCCCCTTAACATTTTTCAAAACGGGCTGGACTAAAAATATAGATTTCCCAATTTCAACAATTACATTTTAACAAAATGTTATCAAATCCCAAGAAAAAAATATTTTATTCCACGCTGTTTTCAACTGAAGTGTGAATAAAACTTCAATAAACTATAGCGCACACCTCCTGTCTAATAACTGCAAAAAGAAACAAGGTCTCAGCTTTAAAATTCATGTCAATTTTATCACGAAATTCAAACAATAAATGTAATTTTGACGCTTTTTAATGTGGCATTACAGATCATAGCGCCACAGTTCAAGCAGCAGCGAGGAGCACACGTGAATAGATAATCTCTTCCTCTTTTCTACTAGTTATAGCACAAAATAAACATGAATGAACATCGGAAGGTATATTGAAAGACACAGAAGAACTTACTAAAATGTATCACAGTGTTTCAGCCATGGAAAGAAGTTAGTAAAACAGCTTAACCTGTTTGTATCTTAATTATTGAATGTATATATGAATAAATGTAATTAAAACAAATTTTTACGACAGCCACCTGTTTAAATGATCTTAACCCTTTAGGCGCCAGGGATTTTTGGAAAAATGCTGGGTTTTGACATCAAGATTTCAAAAGCTTGTGGCTTGAAAGGGCTTAAAGATCTACTGTAAATTAGAAAAATGTTGGGCATGACCGAAAGTTTGCGGGGTGTAGGTGACATCTCTACCACCCCCATCCCCGTTGGGCAAAGGGTCGAAATGATCACTTGTTGTCGATTATTAGATGACCAATCGTCATTTCCAAAAGGCAAATATTCCCCTTCAGAGTCAGAATCGGCAAATAACATTTGCAACACATCCTCACGGTACAACATTTTATTAGCCATTTGGCGATTTTCTCTCACAAATCTCACAATTTACTTGACGCTATGAACTGAACTGCTTCCTCATCAATGACACGATAGCTCACTTGCTCTGCTATTTCCTCGAACACTTTGAATAGGAACGTGACGTAATTTTGGTCTAGAATCAAAGTACTACATGTCTGCCATCTAGTGGTAGGGAATACAAATGAGATATTACACCATATAAGGAACTACAGTCTATTTCATGAAGTATGAGGTCTTGTTGCAATTTTGCGACTTTGGCGCTTAGAGGGTTAATCAACAACTAAAGATTAACAATTAATTGGAGTGATATTGGTCTGCTACATTATTTAAAAACACAGTGTCACAGTGGTTACAATTAACAGCATGAGAGATGGTGTGAACGCATGCTACTTAATCGCACAATCCATAACCATTTGCATTACAGTTTCAGTTTAGTGGTGGGTGATGTGCTCCATAGTCATATCTATCGTCCTATCGTCAGCCTCCAGGCAGGGTAAGACTAAAAGCAGCCTAATGTTAGTGTAATCTATCAACTACACATTATATCATTTTAGTCAAGTAGCATATAGATGTCATGTCTCAAAATATTTTTAATATGACTGAATTTGTATTTAACATAACAGTTTAATAGAAACATTGTAACATTATAATTCGCGAGAGAGCAGAATTCAGTCAGCGAGTGTGCACACTGATCAACTAAACACCGGTGTTTCTGATTGGCCGCTGCATTTATAAGCTCAACGGAATCGTGTGTGATTAGTTGTAACACTGTAAAAATGCAGAAAAAGAAATATGATGGAACAAATAAGCCCTAATATTAATTAGATAGTATTGCTAGCCTGATAATAATAATAATAATCCTCTTGCTATCGTCAAAGGCATCAACCGCAGGCGATATCTCTGACTATCGTCGATACACAATATTATTATTACACCCTATTTTAGTTGTAAGTCGATTAACTGAGAGGTCAGAGTTTAAATACTCTGTAGAGATCTTTTAATTTTTTATTTTTTTAAAAGGATTTTATATGCGTTTCCATAGATAAATTCCAATTTCAGAACTGTCACGTCTTTAACAGAGGGATGTCACACCCGTAATGGTGTTTTTTCCTCCGAATTGCAAAAACGGTTTGTGCATTGTAATTCACAGAAAGTCTGTTGTCTCACATAAACTTTTTTTGCCACATTTGCGTTACGCATGTGTATTGAAATCATCTAAAAAAAGAGTAAGTTGTGAAAAGTGAAATGTGAGTGATGTGTTTTTATTTCTCTATAGGGTAAGGAGATTATTGAATACTACCTGAGGGAGCTAGAAGAAGAAGGTATAACTTGTATACCTCGGTGGAGCCCTTGCCCACCATCACCCACAAAGCCAGTGGTGCCACTTGTTATTCCTGCATTGCCTATCACTCCCACAATCTCCATTGAAGCCCTTCCTGAGAGCGTGAATGAGATTCAAGGGTGTAAAGAGGGCAGCAGTCCTCCGGGCAGCCTGAACGACGCCCTTGTAGCCAGTCCAGATGGTTAGTACCAACACTGTTACCACTCTGACCTTTTCTACACTCTAAAAAAATAATGCGTTAGCTAAAAAAAAAAAAAAAAAACAGTTTGCATCAATTTTTTAGAGTTATGACAACTTCTAATGAAATTGTTCAACCAACAAACTACATTGATTTAGAAGAACTTAATCATTTGTAAAAACACATTTTTAAGTTGGTTACTCAAAAAAATTAAGTTGCTCCAACTAATGGATTTGTGAGCCTGGAACCAGTTTATATGATCTTTGTTTCTGTTCAAATTCACAGCTATGGCACATGCTAAATGTAACTTATTTAGCATGTTATATTTAATTCAAAAGTAAGATGTTACTTGTCACTGGCAGTAGCGCAGTCATTGCTAATAGAGTCAATGTAGTGTTTACCTTCATGTGGTCTACTCTTCAGCAATGGTAACCACAAAAACTTCAACATAACAGAAACTCTTTAAAATGTCAAACATAACAGCATTAAACACTAACAGGTCTTTCCCTTCACTAAAAAAAACCACATAAAATAACACTTAATTTCAACATTTACTCTCCTTATCCAGTCCTATGCAAAGCGTGCTGGAAACTAAAAATCCACTACCCAATTTCCAAAGTTAACAAGACAATATTATTGAGTGTAAGATATAACTTAACTTTTAAGGAAATTCAATTAACGCAGAAATTTGAGTTTAAATTACGCATAATATTAAGTTACACCGTGTTTACACCGGACAAAAAACAATATAACCTATTATGCTGACTACACTGGATGTGGTTCGGCACAACAAATTCCCGACAGTAAACTGCTGCTGTGTTCTATTTATGACGTACTGACCCAAATTTCATATGATTTTCAACAGTCGCTTTGTTGCGTCCAGTGTAGACAGACTTTAGCTGTTGCGGCACGGCGCGAAACGACAACTCTAGCGTCCGGTGTAGACACGGTGTTAAAGGGGTCATATGATGCGATTTCAAGTTTTCCTTTCTCTTTGGAGTGTTATAAGCTGATTGTGCATAGATAAGATCCCTGAAGTTGCAAAGACTAAAGTCTCAAAACCAAAGAGCGGGGCTTTACATTTCCGACGCGTGCTTGCAGACTGCGCTTGTCGGAAGGCGGGACTTTGTAGAAAACGAAGCGTTTGAGAGAGGCGGGGCATAGAGGACCTACAATAATGTACAGTATTTGAAAAATAATGTGTTTTTTGAACATTAAAGCATGTCAACATATTCTGTTACACCAAATACACAAAAAAATGATCTTTAAAAAAGCATCATATGACCCCTTTAATGTAATTATCAACATTATTATGTTAATTAAACTCAACTAAATTATGTTTGCAACTTAAAAGGTTTAATTAAATTATTACATTTGAATTTTTAACTTGCAACCATGCATTTATTTAAGCTGTGGTAACAGGTCCCCTGAGTCATTTTTTAGAGTGTACTTAATATTGTAGAACATTCTATTCATTTTACTTTCCCTTTTGTATTTTGCCTCAAACACATCTATACAACAAATAAAGCATACTGCACTTTATTAAAACTTAGCGTTAAAAAAAATAAATTAAATTTAGAGTTTGTTTGGGAACATTTGTTCAGTTTAACTTTTCATACAAACAGTTTACTTAAGGTCTGCTAGATGTAAATTTTTTTCAATCTATGTTTAGATAAACTGGATGCAGACTACATCAAACGGTATCTGGGTGACCTCACACCCCTTCAGGAGAGCTGTCTGATTCGCCTGCGCCACTGGTTACAGGAGACACACAAGGGCAAGGTGAAATGTGCACACATATTCAGCCTTTTTGATGTTCAATCTGATGGATCAATATCTATTGACGTGTGATTAATCCACTGATATGTGGACATTGAGATTATTGGCATCGGCTGATAACTGTGCCTGCATGTATGATAAACCAGATGGTTTAACCTTGGTATTAATGCATAATTACATGTATATAGATATATTAGGTCCATCTAATAATTATTACTCTAATTATTAGAGCCATCAATTTAATACATTAGTTTTGTATTATGTAATAAAAAAAGTAATTTTTCTTTTCTCCTAAACTGCACATAATTTATGTAATAAGGGCGTATATTTTTTTGAAGCATAGCACCATGTATTCCGAAAATTCACCAATGATCAGTTTTACGATCTGATCACATTTAGTCAGTGGCAGTCTAGAAACCCACCTGTCTAGGTTACTTGTTGATCCTCCTGTCCTCTTAGATCCCAAAAGATGAGCATATTCTACGGTTCCTGCGTGCACGGGACTTCAGCATAGATAAGGCACGGGAGATCCTTTGTCAGAGTCTGACCTGGAGGAAGCAGCATCAGGTAGACTACCTCCTGGATACCTGGAGCTCTCCTCAGGTGTTGCACGATTACTATACCGGAGGCTGGCACCACCACGACAAGGGTGAGTGAGCACAGTGATACCCTGTCAGCTAAAGGTATTTCTGTCAGGACCACTATCGTCAAAGATAACTTACAATTAGCATACATTTTAGGTTGGGGGTATGGTTCTGTTCTGGGCAACACTCCCTGCCCATCCATGCAGCCTAGCATGGATAGGAGCAGGGAGAGCATAAATAACCCCCCAAAACAAACCATATGCTGAACGCCCCCCCCAACCACATGCTGACAGCAATCTAACTGAAAATGCCTTACGGAAGGAGAGTGGCATCGAAGGGGTGCTCTTCTTTATAAGCAGCTAAGAAGAGCAGCAAGACCCTTACCGGAGGAGTGTAGCAGCGAAGGGATGCTCTTCTTTATAAGCAGCTAAGAAGAGCAGCAAGCCCTTACCGGAGGAGTGTAGCAGCGAAGGGGTGTTCTTCTTTATAAGCAGCAAGCCCCTTTAATGCAGTACCTGAAAAAGATTAAAGATGCAGAAAACCCACTAGAATTGCAGCCTAGTTTGCAGCAAACACAGCGTACTGCAGCTGTAGAAGCGAGCAAATTAACTGGTTCAAAGATCGCAGATTCTACCTGGCCTAAAGCTTTAGCATCCATTTAAAAACT